TAGTGTACCCTTCTCCCAGAGCGAATTCAACAGAGAGCAGGCAAAAAACGTCAAGGCTTTTATGATCTAGTCCACTTTGATGACACAGAGCACTTCAAAGACATAATATTTATAGTAGCTGCTTTTCATTGTGACAGAAGCAACCTAAGGAAGGAAGGGCTTCTTGGGGCTCGCAGTTTGAAGGCACAGCCTGTCACGGTAGGAGTAAGAGCGTGAGAGAGATGGTCACATCTCGCCCACAGCTAGGAAGCAAAGAGGTGAACGCTAGTGCTCAACTCACTTGCTCCTTTCGAAGCTCATATGCAGTTTGAGCCCCCATCCCATGGGATGCTGTCACTTACATTCAGGGTGGGTCTTCCCTCTGCAGTTCAATCTCTTTGGATACCCCTCAGAGACATGCCCAGAAGTGTGTCTCCCAAATGATTCCAAGCCCAGCCAAGTTGACAACAAAGATTAACCATCATAGTATTCATTAAAAATGAGTCTCCCCCGCAAAAAAAAAAAAAAAAAAAAAAAGAACCACACACACATTCAGTACCACCTCTTAAAATGAGGGACAATTTAAAAGGGTAGTAGGGCTGTAGAGAGATGGCTTGGCAGTTAAGAGCACTCACTGATCTTGCAGAAGACCTGACTTTGATTCCCAGAATCTACATGGTGGTTCATAACTATCTGTAACTCCAGTTTCAGGGGATCTGATGATCTCTTCCAGCTTCCATGTGCACCAAGCATATATATGATGCACAGACATACATGCAAGCAAAACATCTATATACATACAAATTTTTAAATAAAATGTTAGCAGCACTTGGGAGACAGAGGCAGGTGGATTTCTGTGAGTTCAAAGTTAGCCTGGTCCACATAGCGAGTTCCAGGATAGCTAGAGTCACCTACTAGAGAAATCCTGTCTGTCTGTCTGTCTGTCTGTCTGTCTGTCTGTCTGTCTCTCTCTCTCTCTCTCTCTCTCTCTATATATATATATATATATATATATATATATATATATATATATATATATATTTTAATTAAAAACAACAAAAAGTTAGTGGACATCTACAAACAGGACATGACCATGGTCTGATTCAAGTTCACTTCCATCTGTCCTTTACAAATTGGACGGTTTCTAAGAATATTCAGACTGGTTTGGGCCCTTTTGCTCTATCTAAACAGGTAAAAATTATAAGTCCGTGAAGAGAAGCTCTTCCGGTGCTCTCACTCACGGACCCTTGACTGCCACATTCTAGGAGTTGTATTGTCAGACCCAGAAGTTTACAATTAGAAGTCGTGAGAGCCAGAGGCTCATTTCTCCAAGCTTTAGAGGCCAGAGACTTGCTGCTCTAGGCGCTCAGGTGGAAGGAAGGCTTACTGCTCTGAGCTTTGAGCTGCTGGTGGTCCCAGCGCCCGGCAGCTAGTCCAATCCCTACCTTCCAGTAGGAGGGAGCAGACAGCAGCTAGGAGTAGCAGATGGCACCTTCTACTGTTACAACTCACACAGACATCAGCTAAAAGCACCCTGAGCCCTACAGGGGCAGCAAGTATTACAGCTTTCAAGCACAGGGTATCAGAATCCCCAGCCCTTGTCAGGCCCAGGGGATATAAGGCACCTTGGACTTCAGAGATCAGAACTCAGTTTTTCATTTCCTGTATGTAAATTTATTTTAAGGAATAAACAAATGACAGCAAATGCTGGTGACGATGTGGGGAAAGAACGATGCTTGCATGCGGCTGGCGGGAGTGTAAATGGATACAACCAGTGTGGACGTCACTCTGGTGATCTCTTAAAAAACTAAAAGTAGAATTACCATGGGTCTCGTGATAAATGCCCACTCACGAGCATATACCCAAATCACTCTGGCCAGAGAAGCAGCAGGCACGCATTGAGAATCCACAGGCCACTCCTGCCAGGGACATAGTTCGGCTAACTGCAGGGCAGGTCGTTGCCTCCTCCAAGTCTAGTCCTCCAACTCACCCCCACCTCTGTAGCAGAACACCTGCTGTAGCCTCACCCTCACCTCATCTCTCGTGAACCCCACAGATCTTCCTCTCCTAACATCTCTCCCCCCACTCTCTGCTTTATCCCACCCCCCAACTCCAGCAGGCACTCCCTGTGAGCACACAGGCCCTTCCTACCAGGGAAGCAAGTGGGCTAACTGCAGACCTTCACCCTCCAGAGCTTCTGTTCCTCCTAGTCAAATCCCCCAGTCTCATCCTAAGCTCTGTGACAGAACACCTGCTGAACCTTCCCTTCCCCCTGCTCCCTTCTCCTATAGATCCCACGGACCTTCCCCTCATCACCTCCCTGCCCCCACTTGCTTTATCCCACCCCCAACCCCAGCAGGCACTCCCTGGGAACCCACAGGCCCTTCCTGCTAGGGAAGCAGGTAGGCTAAACGGAGATCCTTACCTTTCTCTGGATTCCTCCAAGTCCACTCCCCAGTCTCACCCCTAGCTCTATAGCAGACCTTCTGCTGTGCCTCCTCTACCTGCTCCCATTCCCAGGGGACTGACTAAGCAGATTCTGGTGGCACACCCTGCTCTCCTGCAAAGCCCCTCCACTGCCCACAGCCCACCCCCATTTCTAAGTCTCATGTCCCAGGAACACATTTTGCCTGGAAGCTCCAGGGGCTACCCACATCAAGACTCCAAAAGATTTTCCTACAAGCAACACACAGCCACCATACTCTCCTAAGAACTAGAGAGGAAACCAAGGGACAAAACACCCACCCAACAAAGATAAATCCAGTTATCAGTACCTAGATTTACAGTTTTCCCAATCCCAGATGCCTGGACGCCAGCATAAAAACACAATAAAAAACAGCCAGGACAATGTATCTGGGATATGTTTGAGCCCAGCAACCCTACCACAACAGGTCCTGAATACGCCAACATATTTGAAGCACGAATAAAAGACCTCAAGACAGCCTTTATGGATATGATAGAGGTCCTTTGTGATGGCTATTCTTGGTTGTCAACTTGACTATATCTGGAATGAACTACAATCCAGAAATGGAGGCCACACCTGTGAGAGTTTTTCTACTTGGTTTGAAGTGAGTGAATCCCCTTCTAGTCTGGACCTTTGAGGTAGGAAGTCATACCTATGATCTGGATCATAAAGACACAAGCTTTTGATCCAGATCTCGAGGTGGGAAGACACACCTTTAATCTGGACCACACCTCATGCTAGAAACCTATATAGAAGCCTATAAGGACATGGAAGAAGGAAGCTCTTATTCTTTACCTGCTTGCCCTTGCCTTGCTAGCACATCCATTCCTTCTCTGGCTTTGGGGCCTATTTCTTTGTGATTCCATCATAAACAGAAGACCAGCTGAGATACCCAGCCTTGTGGGACTTTCCATTCACAGCTAGCCATTGTTAGATTAGCTGGACTGCAGCCTGTAAGTCATTCCAATAAATTCCCACATATATGTATGTACACACACACACACACACACACACACACACACACACACACACACACACATATATATATATATATATATATATATAGAGAGAGAGAGAGAGAGAGAGAGAGAGAGAGAGATTCATTCCATAAGTTCTGTGAGTCCAGACAACTCTGACTAATACATCCTTACAGAGGAAATGAATAAATCACTTAAAGAAACCTATAAAAACACAAACAGTGGAAGGAAATGAATGAAACAGTTCAAGACCTGAAAATGGAAGTAGAATCAATAAAGAAAACAAAAACTTGGGGAAATCTGGAAGTGAAAATTTAGGAACTCGAACAGGAACCACAGAGGAAGAATAAAAGAGATGGAAGAGAGAATCTCAGGCATTGAAGACACAATAGAAGAAATGGATACATTGGTCAAAAATGTTAAATCTAAAGAACTCCAGGCACAAAATATCCATGAAATCTGGGACACTATGAAAAGACCGAATCTAAGAATAGTAGGAATAGAGGAAGGAAAAGAAACATGGGTCAAAGGCACAGAAAATATTTTCAACAAAATCAGAAGAAATCAGAATTTTCTTAACCTAAAGAAGGAAATGCCTATCAAGGTACAAGAAGCATACAGAACACCAAATAGACTGGACCAGAAAAGAAAGTCCCCTTGCCACATAATAATCAAAACACTAAACATATAGAACGAAGAAAGAGACCTTTGAACACTCATCCCTAAATGGGATGTCTCCATCAAATCTGTCTCCTCAGAGCTCAAGGAACTCTGTGGAAGAGGAGGTGGGAAGAATGTAAGAGCCGTAGGGTCTGGAGGACACCAAGAAAACAAGGCCCTCTAACTCAACATGAGCAGAACCCGCAAGAACTCACAGAGACTGAAGTAGCATGCAAAGGTCCTGTACAGGTGTCACCAGGTCCTCTGTGCTAATATTATGGCTTCCAGTTTAGTGTTTTTATTGGATTACTGACTTTGCAAATGAGTAGGTCTCTGATTCTTGTGCCTTCTCTTGGGCTCTTTTCCTTCTGTTGGTTTGTCTTATCCACCTTCAGTGTGATAGTTTTTATTATATTTTAAAAATGAATGGATGAATAAATGTAAACCTAGACACTAAAGGTTAAAAGACTATTTTCAATAAAAGAAAACTAGAGGGAAAATTTTTTTTCACGTTGATCTCCTTAGTGAAAGTAGAATAATACATGAATCATTAAGAAAAATTTAAACCAGGCGGTGGTGGCGCACGTCTTTAATCCCAGCACTCGGGAGGCAGAGGCAGGAGGATCTCTGTGAGTTCGAGGCCAGCCTGGTCTCCAAAGTGAGTTCCAGGAAAGGCGCAAAGCTACACAGAGAAACCCTGTCTCGAAAAAACCAAAAAAAAAAAGAAAAATTTAAAAATTAGATTACAAGTAAAAGATGACTCTCTAAATTCTACCATAGAAATATTTGCATATCCATGTTTATTGCTGTGCTGTTTACAATATGAAGGAAATGGAACAAGTCTAGATGTTCATCAACAGATAAATGGAAAATGCAAATATGGTACAGATACACAATAGAACTTTAAAAACAATTTTTTTCAGGGGAGAGTATGAACTCAGTCCTCCACTACCACAAATTATGCATTTAAGTTTCTTATTTGAGGAAGTCACAGGGGTCATCACATCTAGAGTATAATGAATGAACCTCCCAATGGATAACCACCTTCAAGAATCATGGGTTCTCCCCTGCCAGATAAGTATACACAATAGAATTTTATTCAGTCATAAAGAAGAACAAAGTCATAAATTTTCAAGAACATTGATGGATTTTGAAATTATTATATTAAAGAACCCAAACTCAGAAAAGCAATCACCATGAGTCTCTATGATATACATGCCATAGATTTTAATTTTTATGTATGTGTACACATGAGATTTATAGGTCATGAAACTAGAAAGACAAAGACCATGAGAAAAGCAAAAGTGGTCTTAGGAAGGGGAATAAAAAAAAACACTGGTGGTGAGAACGAGCAGTAGAATAGATGTGATATGAAAGCAGAAACCCCCTGTGGGGAGGAGGGAGTGAGCAGGAAGGCAGCAGGACATGGGAAGGGAGTAGAAAAAGAAGATCAACACAAAAATTATGTGTATAAATGCCATAATGAGGAGGATGGCCAATGGTGGTGCATGCCTTTAATTCCAGCACACAGGAGGCAAAAGCAGGCAGATCTCTAAGTCTATAGAGTGAGTTCTAGGGTAGCCAGTCTACACAGAGAAACCCTGTCTGAAAGAAAAAAAGAAAGAAAGGAAGGAAGAAAGAAAGAAAGAAAGAAAGAAAGAGCGAGCCATAATAAAATCCATAGCTTTGTGCACTAACTATAAAACCAAATAAATTTTAAAGAGGCAATATTTCTTTGTAACCTCTTGTCAGAAGTTCATGGAAAATAAAATAAGTTCCTGGATAGTCATTCTGATCCGTCCACTATAAAGTTTCCTGTCAGTCTTTCATCAAATGTTTTCAGCAGCAAAGATAATCATCATAGATCTGTATCATCCAATAAAGGAGGACTCTGCCGTGCACCTGTGTGGTTACTGAAACTTAAAGAAACTTACAATGTTTCAAATTCAGGTGACTGGGGTACAGCTCAGTGATTAAAAAAAAAAAATACTTGTCTATCATGCAAGAGGTAGCTTTGTTCCCCAGCACCTCAAAAAACATTTAAGTTCAGTTCCTCAATGATCCTAGGCACATTTCCAGTGCTTTCTAGTTATTGTGCCTACCGTATAGACCAGTGCTAACACAACCATGTCTATCACCAGAAAAGGTGCTATTCTAGAAGGATTGTTTCGCTTTACTTATAGAACTTGTAATTTTTGGAATTAGTTGGAGTTGTTGTTTAAAGAATGGCATATCCACATCAAGTTATTCAATTGCTCTGAGATACAATTTATACAGGAATTCATTTGCCTTTATTTAACAACATTCAGAATGTTGAAGTAAGGGGCCTGTGGGATGGGTTAGCGGGTTAAGGCACTTGCTGCCAAGCCTGTTGATCTGAGTTCAATCCTAAGGACCACATGGTGGGAGGTAAGAACTGACTCCTATAAGTTCTCCTCTGACCTCCACACACATGCTATGCCACACACATGCTCACGCTCACACACATACACATACAAAATAAAGAAATAAATATAAGTCTAAGTTTTTAAAGATTTATTTATTTTATTATTTTATGTGAATGAGTGTTTTGCCTGCATGTATGCAAATGCACCACATACATGCCTAGCATCCTTGAAGGTCAGATAACCTGGAGTTACAGATAGTTGTGAGCGGCCATGTGACTGCTGGGAATTGAACCTGGGTCCTCTGCAAGAGCAATAAGTGCTCTTATCCACTGAGCTAAATCTCTAGTCCTACATGTAATTCTAAAAAGGCAATTAAAAATAGAAATTCCACTGGGTGGTGGTGGTACATGCCTTTAATCCCAGCATGTGGGAGGCAGGTGGACCTCTGTGAGTTCGAGGCCAATGTGGTCTACAGAGTGAGTTCCAGAGCAGGCTTCAAAACTACACAGAGAAATCTTATCTCAAAGAAGAAGAAGGAGAAGGAGAAGGAGAAGGAGAAGGAGAAGGAGAAAGAAGAAGAAGAAGAAGAAGAAGAAGAAGAAGAAGAAGAAGAAGAAGAAGAAGAAGAAGAAGAAGAAGGAGAAGAAGAAGGAGAAGAAGGAGAAAAGAAAAAAAGAATTCCGACATGACTCCAAAATCCCTCTTCTGTGTATAAATGGCAGTTAAGTGAAATCACTACCTTATACAGACACCTGGGAGGCAAGCCAGGGAGACAGAAGTATGAGAGCATGGGAAGAGAAAGGAATCCTCACTCTCAAGCCTGGAGGAAGCCTCTTGCCAACTCAAAAAGAATTCCAGCACAATTAAGAACATTGTGGCCATGTTGGTGTTACAGAAATAATATGCCTTCCCAGTGAGAAATGACTCTATACACTTAGATTAATAATGGAAAAACTCTTTTATAGCATTTGTCTGGCTCTGGCTAATGCTCAAAAAGGAGTCAGCCTTAAATAGAAGGTTTACTAACTTATGTACACCTCAGGCTTGTGCATTCCACATATGCTGTCAACCTTTAATCTCTTTCGGTTCTAGCCCCAGGTTACATTCTGAACAGTTTAACCAGAGACAAGAGACTGCAAGTTTAGCTACTGGGACAGATGGGAGATTTACATATCAAAGATATTGCCAGAATTATTTCTAAAGTATACCAGAGTTTTGTTTTTGTTTTTTCAAATAGTTGTCAACCAGCGTAATCTTGCCTATGCGGCAGAATTATGCTTTTCTCAAGAAGAGAACTGGGACTCAAGAGGCAGAGGCAGGCAGATTTCTGAGTTCAAGGCCAGCCTGGTTTACATAGTAAGTTCTAGGACCGCCAGAGCTACATAGTAAGACTTTGTCTTGAAAAAGAAAAAAAAAAACCAACACAACAAAAAATATATCTAAAGAAGACAATGGGTGGGCTTCTGGCAGCCTGGGAACCCTGCATTGCCCCTTGAGCTGCCTGTCTAGAGGCATGTTCTAATGGCTAGTGAATACTGTAAACAAACGTTTACATCCTAACATCATAAATTTCATTTATCTCTGGTTAGCATACTACTTATTTTGGGAGAATTTTGAGAGCAGTGCTCCCTTAGCTAAATTCTACTTTGTGTGACTCAATGTCACCTAAGGAAATCTAGTAACACATCCTTTATAACATCAGTTCTATTACTTTGAGTTTCTTCTACATCAATTTGCACATGCCTTTAATCCCTGCACTCTGGTGGCAGAAATAGGCCAACCTTCTCTGAGTTCAAGGCCAGCCTGGTCTACAAAGTGTGTTCTGAGCCAGTCAGGGCTATACAGAAAGATCCTGTGTCAAAAAAAACGAACAAACAAACCACATTTGTTGAAGGCCTTTCTCTTTCCCCAACTATAAATCTCATCAGAAATCCCATTTACAATAAAAGCTATTTCCTAGCCCCCTTGTGGAACCTCAATGGCTCTTGATTTCACTTCCTCAGATTATAAACCCATCCAAGGAACCTCCAAGGCTGCCCTATAGTCTCAACAGTTCCTTAGCATCTGTAAGATGTAACTGAGAGCCACTAAAATGGTCACATGGCTGCTGTGAAGACTCTTCTCTGAGAAGGCCACACTTATGCTCTCAGGGCTGCCTTATTCTTTTCCTAAGCACCTTTCTTCAATGAACTCTGCTTCATACCGGCTCATTCTGAAATTCCTTTGTGGAAGCCAAGGACCCCTCAAACTGCTGCAGATAACACAGAGCTGTGACCCCTCCCTGTTGCTGGATGTAGGTAGTCCTTCAGCTTTTCCTGTCCTGTCCCTCGATTCTTTTTATGTTCCCAAGAGCACTCCAATAACTCAAGGACTGCCAAAATTCTATTTTAGTTCCTGTTTCTAAGATATACAATACAAAGATGGTTTTGACTCAAGGGAAGACAGAAGACCCCGGCACAACTAATCTTTTAAGGTATTGATATGGACTCCAGGAAAAAGCATGTCTATCTCCAATGTAAAGAAATTCAACTTGAGCTGGGCAGTGATGGGGAATGCCTTGAATCCTAGCACTCAGGAGGCAGAGGTAAGTGGATCTCTGAGTTGAAGACCAACCTGGTCTACAGAGTGAGTTCCAGGACAGCCAGGGTTACACAGAGAAAACCTGTCTTAAAAAAACAAAAGAGCCGGGTGGTGGTGGCGCATGCCTTTAATCCCAGCACTCGGAAGGCAGAGCCAGGCGGATCTCTGTGAGTTCGAGGCCAGCCTGGACTACCAAGTGAGTTCCAGGAAAGGCACAAAGCTACACAGAGAAACCCTGTCTCGAAAAACAAAAAACAAAACAAAACAAAAATATTCGATTTGGTTGGAACCCAGGTAGCCTTCTTGTGCTCTCCTTCCCTCCTCCATTCTGTTTTCCCTAAACCTGCCACTCTAGACTTAGACCTGCCACTGCCACCAGCTTCAGCCCTTCCTCCTAGCCCACTTCCATGCCCTTGAGACTAATCCTCAAGATACAGACTCAGAGTCCCTCTAGTTCTTCCTGAATGCCCTCCTAGGCTGTCACTTCTCCTAGCCCGTTTCCAGTCCTTTGTGACACCCTGCAGAACTGCCTCTACTAGACAAATAGCACCCACATTTGTCTGGGGTACAAGTATGCTAGCTGTGCCCTTCTCTTCCTCCTCCTCCTCTTCCATTCTGGTCTTTCAACGCTATCCCTAGTCTGGTCTCAGCTGCATGCCTTAGCTCCTTCTCGTAGTCCATCTCTATTCCCTTCAGACTCACCTCCATTCATGGCCAGACTCAGGGTACCCCTAGTTCTGTCTCTGCCAGTATTTGTGGGGCCAGACTCCAAGTTTTAATTAAGAAACATCCAGAGCCTTGTAGGTATTAGTTTTGTTGTTATTGTTGCTCTTTATTCTTTTGGGGTCCTGCTACCCAGCTCTCAAATAAATACATAGAGGCTTATTCTTACTTATGAATGTGGGGCCTTAGCTTGACTTGTTTCTAGCCAGTTTTTATTAACTTAAATGATCCCATTTACCTTTTGGCTCTGGGCTTTTATCTTTCTCTATTCTATATACCTTTCTTTACTTCTTACTCTGTGGCTTGCTGTGTAGCTGGGTGGCTGGCCCCGGTGTTCTCTCTCCTTTTCCTTTTCTCAACCCCATCTTCTCTTTTTCTATTTATTCTCTCTG